TCTCTCTCTCTCTCTCTCTCTCTCTGGCAAACGCCCCCACGGGGTGCTCTGCTTTCAGGAGTCTCCGCTGACCTTCGGGGTTTCAGGCTTGTGCTTGGGGGAGGAGTAACCTTGGGGCCTGAGGTGGCCCCCCCACCCCCACCCCAGCCAGGAGGAGATGGCTCTAGAGGGGCCGATTTCAACATGTTGTATCCCGTATGTTGGACTCGGTTGATTATTGCCCTGCCGTCCGCTTAGAGTCCGCTCAAGTGAAAGTGGTGTAAAAGCCAAATAAATAAAGGGATGTTGCAACGCATGACAGCAACAACAATATTAGAGAAAGGTGAATTATAGTTCTGTGGTTGCGTAGGCTTTTATTTCATTGGACGGCTGCCCACACGGGGAGTCAAAGAAACTTCTGCCTAAGACGAGGGGATGAAAATTTGCTCTGTGGAAGACGCTTCGCTCGGCCTGAGCTTTTGAGCCGCACATTTTCCCCTTTCAGATCCTGTTTGACCAGACCCAAAGATCCATCAAGGCACAACTCCAGATGTTCGTTAAAGAGTAAGTTAACTTCCATGGATCCCGAAGACTGATACGTGATGGGAGTCTGGCCCCCAAGGGGGAGGGTCCCTCGCCATGGGCCAGAAGACGGCTGGAAGTGCAGATGGTACACCCCCCCCCCCCGGAAACAAACATTGTTCGGAACTGGGGGTGTGGGTGGGGGGGCAGTTGAGTTTGGCCTTACCTCCCTGAGATTCGGATGCAGGCAGCTGCTCAGCAGGTGTAGCCCTTCTGGCTTGGGGAGAAGCGGGCCTTCTTCCATCCCCAGGGACGGCAGGCTCCGCTTTGGCTGGGCTGAGGCCAGGGGAGATGGGGTGCCCAGAGGGGGGAGCGCAGGGCAGACACTCAAAAGTGCCGAGGATCCACAAATGCGTGTGGCGGCAAGGCCAGAAGCCCCCCGGCTCCTTTGGCCTTCGTCGGGGACCCTTTTGTGCCGGCTTTGGCCTGGCCAGGAGTCTTCCAAGTCATCCTGGGGGTGGGGGTGGGGTTTCTGGGGTGGGAGGCAGTTTGCTCTCCCTCCCTGGGGAAATTCCTGTGCTCGTGCTGAGCTTCTTGGGGGAAAACAAGTGGGTCCCCCTTGAGTCCCACTCAGGGAAAGGCTCTGCGGTGGGAGGAGCTGGAGGGGGAAGAGCCGTTTCTCTCCTCCTTCCGCGCACTAGAGACATCCGGAAGTTCAAAGACACCAAGAAGCAGTTTGAGAAAGTGAGCGAGGAGAAGGAGAATGCGCTGGCCAAAAACGCCCAGGCCCCCAGGAACAAGCAGCATGAGGTCGAGGAGGCCACCAACATCCTCACCGCCACCCGGAAATGCTTCCGGCACATCGCCCTGGACTACGTGCTGCAGGTGAGCCTGGCCGGGGACCTCTTCCCCAGGGGCAGCTGGGGAGCCTGGGTGTCCAGGGGCTGGTAACAGAAGAAGGAAGGCCTCGGGGGGGTGGGCAGGTGGAGGTGCGGTCTTTGCCACGAGGGGTCCTGGGAGGCCGGAGAGCAGCAGCCCTGCTGACTGGCCCCTTCCCTTCCTCGCCTGCCTTCCTTCCTGCTGAGCTTCCCTGGGGGACAAGAGAGAACTGTTCCCAGCCCCCCCACCCCCTCCCAGCAGGGGCTGCCTGACCTCCGCCATGGGGGGGGGGCTTTGCGCTCCCTCCTTCCTTCACTCAGTGAAGCAAACGGGGTTTCTTCTCTCCCAGATCAACGTCCTCCAATCAAAGAGGAGATCGGAGATCCTAAAATCGGTAGGTGGCCATTCCTGCGCAGAGGAAAGCCCTGGCAGTCCTTGGCTTACGACCGCTCTCTTAGTGACTGTTCAGGGACACTGCAGGCCTCCCCACTTATCACCCAGTTCTGGAGTTCTGACCGACACACACGCATGTGCACGTACACACACACACACACCACATCCTGTGAGCACGTTCATGGTTTGCAGTGTCCCACAATCGCTTGACTGCAGTTTACGGTGGTTTTGCCTCCTTGATTTGTTTCATGACAGCGGTGGCCCACTTAATAACTGCCATAAAAAAGGGTCATAAAGTCGGGTCAGTCGCCTGATTTACGACCACGATGGAGAGGAGGGCAGCCCGTAGGCACTCCCATGCGCTCAGAGTGGGGCTCAGTGAAGGCGGAGGCGGCCTTGGGCCCCACAGGGGCCCTCTGGGGCCAAGACTCTGCCCTCCTCGGCTAAGGAAATCCAGAGAGCTTAAGGTCAGGAATGATTTAAACTGTTCAAAGTTAGCCTGGCAAGAAGAAGCTAAGATCAAAGTAGAGATGTTATTAACCACTTTTTTTAAATTTATTTTTCTCTCAATATACTTTAGACCGTGTTTGTTAAAAATCTATACCGTGTACGGG